TCAGTCTGTGTACATATCATTCATTATTCTTTTTCTAAATTATATTTAAATTTCACAAAGTGTTATTAGTAAGTCATCTAAAATTTCTAAAAAGCAGACCCTTCCCTGGTCCCACCCCCAGCCATACCTCTAATATTAAAGTGTCCCTATTTGTCCATTTGAAATTTTGGGAGGCATGCCACTAGAAAAATGGCTGTTTTGTCATCACAGTCAAAGACTTGCCAACTTTAGCAAGTATTCATTTAGAAGGTGTGGGTTGGGGCCCCCTTTATGGGACATATAGTAGGCATGACATTCAGCCACAAATGCACTCCTGGAAGCCTGGCCTGGCTGCCCATATATAGAGTGCTAATGAAATGCTTGCGTAGGTTGAAATGCCTTGTAAATCATCTTAACTGTAGTGAAAATGTGTTTAAACCATGCACTTTGCATGACTGTAGGCAGATGTGACTTGGCCAACTCCCGTAGCTGCCAGATTAAGACAGATATTTCCAAGACTACCTGGTCACTTTCAGATAGCTTGTAACTTTGTGAAATGTGAGACAATGTTTGATGAGGATATGAACACAGTATGTAGCTAATCAGGTTTGGACTAGTTAATTATGCCTTAACACATGGCTGCTTTGTCTGCCCTAAATATATGTAAAAATCTACATGTGTCTGTCTACAACAGAAAATAATGAAAACAAAATGCTAATATCTGCAATTAAAAAATTATGGTCTTCCTTTTATGTACCACCATACACTCGGTACCTCATAATGAAAAAACAGATTTTTGAAAACTGCAAATTTACTAAAAAGAAAAAACTAAAATATAAAACCATATGCGTACCTAGGTTACATGGCACAGAAAGGTATTTTGGCACCCCCCTTGTTGAACTGTAAAAGCTGTAGAAGTGTGTGTGAATGTGTATAACAGTGTGAGAAGAAATATGTGTGGTAGTTTGTGCGTAACTGTAATTTTTGAGTTGGTCATTCTGGTCTAAGTCCTCTCCCTTCTCCTGGCCATTCCTTTCTTTTCTGCTGATTGCTGTGCTCAGTCTAAGAGGATGGGGCCATGCGCAGATCAGGTTCCTCAACAGTGGTGGAACTACCACTGGTGCAGCTGGTGCCATTGCACAGGGGCCCAAACGCATTGTGGTCGCATCGGGTGGCCCATCTAATGGTAATGTTTTCTCAGGGGTCCGGTCAACACTGTGGCCATTTAACTCCTTAGTGACCAGACCGCTTTTCAATTTTCTTACCATTTGGGAGAAGGGCTGTTTTTACATTTCTCTGGTGTTTGTGTTTAGCTGTAATTTTCCTCTTACTCATTTACTGTACCCACAAATATTATATACTGTTTTTCTTGCCATTAAATGGTCTTTCTAAAGATACCATTACTTTCATCATATCATATAATTTACTATAAAATGTAAAAAAGTATAATGAAACAATTTAAAAATATATATTTTTCAAACTTTTACGCATCTACAACCGCCAAAAACATTTTTTTTTTTGCAAGTTATAGGGCAATAAGTGCAAGTAGCGCTTTGCTATTTACAAACCATTTTTCAAAATGAACACGTTACATTGTAACACTGATATCTATCAGTAATCCCTGAATAACCCTTCACATGTATATATTTTTTAAAAGAAGACCACCTAAGGTATAACACTTGGGGTATTTTGACTCTTTTCATGCAACCATTTTACCACCAATCTACGCCAAATTTAAAAAAATAAAATAATTGGTGATTTTTTTTTGACACACATAGCAATTTAAGAATACATGTACTGAGAACTCAAGGGTTGCTGCCAAAGAACACCCCAACAGGTAGGGATGTGCATGGGCAAAATATTTGTTTGGGTTCGGCATTCCAAAATTCGGGACTTCAGCACTTCGGTTCGGCACTTCTGAAATTTGGAACTTCGGTACTTTGGTTCGGTTCCGCACTTTGAAACTTTGGGACTTAGGGTAAGTGTGTCTGTGTTTATATCTATCTGTGTGTTTATATGTGTGTCTGTGTATCTGCATTTCTATCTGTATGTGTGTCTGTGTATCTATTTGTCTGCATGCATATCTATCTCTGTGTCTGTATGTGTTTCTGTATATCTGCATGTGCGTCTGTATGTGTATCTGTGAGTTTGTGTGTTTATCTATGTGTTTGTGTATCTATCTGTTTGTGTGTTTAACTGTGTGTCTCTGCATTTGTTTGTCCATATATCTGTGTATCTATTAGTTTGTCTGTATGTATGTGTATCTGTATATTTGTGTGTCAGTGTATCTATCTATGTGTCTGTACGTGTGTCTGTGTATCTGCTTATGTTTGTATGTGTATCTGTGAGTCTGTGTATCTGTTTGTCTGTGTATCTATCTGTATGTCTGTCTGTGTTTATATCTGTGTTTATCTGTGCATGCTGGCAAAGCATTGTGGGAGTTGTATGACAGATGGGTATCTTTCTTTTGGCCATCCTTGCGATAGTGGGGGGACAAGACAATTCTTGCACCAGGGCCCTCTCTACTTTTACTCCTCCACTGTTCCTCAGACTGAATACAGTGATCTGAAAGTCCTGGAACATTTGTTCTGGTCAGCAATCAAAAGATACCAGACAGGATGTAGGGAGGGGGCTTTTAACAGGCAGAATAGGAACCCCCTTTTAGGCATACAATTGTAGACAGGTGCCTACTGTGCCAAAAAGGAAATGGGAAATCTGACCCTGGGTCTGAATACTTATGCAAATGTTATATTTCAGTTAGTTTGTTTGTCTGTCTGTCTAGCCCTCCCCTTAGGTAGATCCATAGGTATGCCCCTTCTCGGTCTCTCTGCTCAGCCTGTGACCTTCTCCTGTTCGCTGCGTGCACCTATACGGCCAACTCACGCTTGTAGGACTTCTGGCGGGCGGCTCCCTTCCTATGGAATAGCATGCCTACCGCCATCAGACTCTCCCCTAGTCTTCAATCGTTTAAAAAGTGCCTTAAAAACCCATCTCTTTAGGAAAGCTTATGGCCTCCCAGAGTAACCTCTACCTCACATACCTGTCTCTTGCTCTCTCCAGAGGGCAGCACTTTACTCTCTCCTCAAGCTCTGCTTCACACCCACCTTTTTTTGTTGTTGCTATTTTCTGTCCTAATGTGTTTTATACCCACCTCCTTTAGACTGTAAGCTTGTTTGAGCAGGGTCCTCTTCAACCTATCGTTCCTGTAAGTTTTCTTATAATTGTCCTATTTATAGTTAAATCCCCCCTCTTATAATATTGTAAAGCTCTACAGAATCTATTGGCGCTATATAAATGGCAATAATAATAATAATAATCTACTAAACAAACACAAACTGCATCCACTATAAACACAGCATCCATTACACACACACTTCATATACTAAACAAACACCTACACTGCGTTCACTATACACACTGTATCCACTACACACTGCGTTCACTACACATATATCCCACATTCACTACACACACTGTATCCACACTACACACACACCGCGCCCACTACACACTATGTATGCACTACACACACACCGTGTCCACTACACACTATGTATGCACTACACACACACCGTGTCCACTACACACTATGTATGCACTACACACACACCGCGTCCACTACACACTATGTATGCACTACACACACACCGCGTCCACTACACACTATGTATGCACTACACACACCGCGTCCACTACACACTATGTATGCGCTACACACACACCGCGTCCACTACATACACACTATGTATGCACTACACACACACTGCATCCACTACATACACACTATGTATGCACTACACACACACCGCGACCACTACACACTATGTATGCACTACACACACTGCATCCACTTCACACTATGTATGCACTACACACATACCGCGTCCACTACACACTATGTATGCACTACACACACACTGCGTCCACTACATACACACTATGTATGCACTACACACACACCGCGTCCACTACACACTATGTATGCACTACACACACACTGCGTCCACTACATACACACTATGTATGCACTACACACACACTGCGTCCACTACACACTATGCATGCACTATACACA